AAAAAAAAAAAAAGGTTCTCTCAGTAATGGATTCTCAGATGATCATGCTGTTGCCCACATGCATTTGATTACAAGTCTATTAATGGGACCACAAGAGTGACTATTTTGGGGGAGCAGTTATTCTTAAATATAAAAAGTTCTAGCTCCGTACTGTAGAAATCTCACATGTTAAGGTATAATGTAAAGGACATTTAGTATATGCCAGGCAAGTTTGTTTATCAATTGATATGCTAACTTAAAACAATACAAATTTTACTCTCTTTAAAACAAATTTAAAAAATTAAGACCGGTGAGATAGCTCAGCAGACTAAGTGCCTGTTTAGCCAAGTGCAGGGACCCAGGTTGGATCTCCAGCACTACATGCCATGCTGGCCCTGTCCCTGAGCGTGCTGAGCCATCTGTGTGTGGTGGTGCACGCCTGTAATCCTGGTTCTGGAGAGGCTGGAAACATGAAGATCACTACAAGTCCAAGCTGCGTAGTAAGATCCTTTACTAAATACATAAAAATAAATAAGCAAATTTAAAAAGATAAGAAGTAAAAGGGCCAGCCAGATAGTTCAGCAGACTAAAGTGCCTGCTTAAGTAGAGCACAGTGGCTGGGGTTTGATTCCCAGCATGCCATGCCGGCCCTGCCCCTGGGGAGCGCTGAGACCTCGATTGAGACTGGGTGTGGTGGCGCGCACCTGTAATCCCAGCACTTAGGAGGCTGAAAACAGAAGAATCACTATGAGTCCAATCTGTGTAGTGAGACCCTGTAGATCCTATAGACCCTGTACCAAGTACATAAAAAATAATAAAAATGAAAAAGAAACAAATAAAATAAAAAATGGACAAGAAAAATTTAAGGTTTATCGAAAGTAAGCATTAATGTTTAATTATTTGACCAATCTTGCATAACTATAACTATTAATCTGAGCAACAGATTTGACAATGAAAACATGTAATAAAACAACCATTGTTAAACTTTTATTCGTTTTGAAATTCTGTACCATATGTATTATTGTTTGTTACTCTGTTTCTATCTTTGTTTTTACGATTTATTTATGCTTTTGGTTTTGTTTTTACTCTGTAACATAAAGTTAAATGATAAGACAAAAGAAATTAACACTGGAAGTTTATTACTTTTTAGAGGTGAAAACTGACCTTTCTTTTTCCAAATGAGATTTGGGGGTGGAATTCCACTTGATTCACACAAGAGAGTAATGAGATTTCCCTCAATGACTGTGACTTGAACAAGTTCGTCAGAACCATAAATGCTTGGTGGCACTGAAAGAAACCAAAGAAAATTACTGTTTTGACACATACTACCTCATACAGAACCTCCCTGATGCTGTGTATCAAAACAGTTTTCTACTTAAATGATGTAAGAAAATAATCAGCATGCTAATATATCAATATCATATTAAAAGTCATCTGTAAGGTGTAGAATAAATAATAACAGATCTCCTCATTTTCAGATAGCAATTCAATTTATTACAGGCATTTTCGTACTTGGAATGAAAAAGCTAAGGCTAAGGCACCTCCACATTTGAATGTAATACAGACAGATTTGTCTGCCCAGCGTTGATAGGTTAGACATAGCAGAATTAAGAATGATGACATATCATGTGCACAGCCTGCCTCCCTAGTTGCCTCCACATCTCCCCCTTCTCTCAAAGCCTTCAATTTACAGTCCCTGGCCAACTGCCTGGGACACCTCTCTGGCTGCAGTATTATTTAGGGGAGGAAGAAGCCTCCATCGGCCCCAGGGCAACTTCCAGTAATCATTCAATTAACCCTGTGCAAGGCGTTCCTTAGGCTCATGCCAACTTCCTTCTCTTTTTCTCTCCTCTGTTTGCTCACCTGTCATTCTTTGCACTGACCAACCTGACATACTGGCCTCGGCATCATACTTCCTCTTCACATCTAGAGCTAGCATCATTCTCTTTCTTTGCTGTTTTTTAATTTTTTTTTGGCAGAACCGGGGATTGAACTCAGGATCTTGCGCTTGCCAGGAAAGCACTTATTCCACTGAGCCATCTCCCCGGCCCACTGAGCCATCTCCCTGCCCACTAGCATCACTCTGAATGAGCTCACTATTTACATTATCACCAGCCTACCAATACCCAGCCTACTCAGTCCCTTGACCTCCTTCATCCCTTTGTCCCTCAGAAGCCCTTGTACCATGTAGAATGTTTGTAGTGTAAATTTATGAATGTAGGGCGCTAGGGTGGATTGTTGCCATTCTTCTGGGTCCTCCTCTCAAGTATGACAATTTTCAATTCATTAAACCTAACTGAATCTCAAGTTCTTTCATCTCTCCAACATCTCCCCACCCAGTTACTTTCTCTTTCGTGTACCCACCTCTTTCTCTGGCTCTAATTTCAACTGTTCCCTTGCCAGTATTCTCAACCACCATGCACTTTCGCCCTTCTGATCTCGCACCACCCTTATTCTGGATGAATCTTACACTTTACATGTCATTATAGACACAAAGTTCTACAGAAGAATATGACACTGTTAGGCAGATTGGTTCTATTCTACACTTCTAATCGCCATCCTAAACTTTACCCTCCCCTAGCCCTGTGTCCTCTATTATTAGAAATAGTTGTAAATCTGCATTTGGAATGGAAACACCTGCTGAGATGTGAAATTTTATGTCCAATTGGCTGCTTAACATTTCCACCTGGATGCCTGAGAAGCACTGTCCAGTGTTCAGTTACTTCCAAAACCGAATTCAGTTGCCTTTGTTTTTTCTCTGAGGGAAAGGTGCTATTGTTCATACATTCCCGAGGGCTAAATCATAGAGCCTTGATGACTGAATTTCTTAAATATGTCTGGAGTTTTCTGAAATACAAATTTGCTCATCCCAGTCCATCTTGAAATCTTTTTAAGGTAGTCAATCTATTGCCTTGGGAATCAAATATATAAAGGTCTGCCACACACGGTGGCGCGCACCTGGAATCAAACATACACCTTTACAATTGCATTATGACACCTTCTTCAATCTTCCTCTTTCTCTTCTCTCTCCTGTGTGTTACACTAGACTCTACAATAAATGACCATCAGCTCACTTAATAAGAGACTTCAGGTCTCTGTATTGCATCCATCCTTTTCGGAGAGGAAATCTTAGGTCATGACTTCATTAACTTAACAAATTTAAATGGTCAAAATTAAGAGGGCTTAATACATTAGAAATGAATAAAACAGTAGTTAAAATAAAGCTGAGTAGGCTAGAAGTGGGAGGACTTTCACCAGCAGCTGCAGCCAAAGTAAAAGTTGTAATTACTCACAAGCATTGTCTTAATTAGTGACAAATGGGAAATTTCCAAGTGAGAAAAATTTGTCATACCCATTTCCCATTACATGAATGTGTACAGTGTCTTGTTTTCTCTCTCTCACACACACAGCTCACATATATAAGTTGGCCTTTGGATTTACTTTCATTTGTCCCATATATAGAAGATTCGATCATTACAAGATGTTGGCTGTAAAAGCTAAAGGGCATCTTACACAGGCATGAGAAGAAAGCCATGCGACATCAAGGTCATGACAAGTACTATGTTTGGGCTAGAGAAGTCAGTCTACTCACTCTGGAACTAGCGCTTTAAGCTGATGCTCAAGACAATCAATTATAGTCTCTTGGATGTCATTTTAAGAATTTGCAGACTAATAAAAGGTGAAACTAAAGGCTGTGTTGTTTCATTTACAAGGACTGATTTACTTACCCCAAATGTTGACATTATAATTTTTCTCAGTTTTTCCTGCGATATTTGTTGCTTCACAGGTATAACGACCAGCGTCTTGAACCTGAGTGTCTTCAATCTAAAATCAAAACCATGCTTTGAAATGATAGATACTGGTACACAACTGGGTTTTTTCTGTTAAACTTATTCATGGTCTCTTGTTTTTAATTTTTATCTGAAGATTTTCAAACATACACAAAGCATATAGAGCTGTAAAATGAATTCAAGTACACACATCCGTCACCCAGATTCTACACTGAAGAAGACTGAACAACTTTTATCTATGTCATACCTTATTTTAACCTGGTTTGTATTATGACTGAAACCCTGAAAAGACCTTTTAAGTACAACTTAGATAAAATTGGAAAAAAATTGTGTATACTGCAGCTAGAAAATATAAAGAAACACAATGTAGCACATTGTTTCTGCTTTGGATGCATAATCTAATAGGAAATATGAAGTATGTAAACATTGGAATCATGAACATTCAGGCCTTCAGGCGCCTGAATCTTAGTTTCTTAGGCCGGCTCTCCATGTCAACTCTATGTCACTCGGATTCACTTCAACATTATTTCTAAGAGTTCACCTTTAAATTCTCTGTTTCAGTAGAATTTTTATATAATAATTCAAGATCATGTAGATATGTCAAAAATAGCATTTGACCTACTACCAAATAAGTTTACAATGAAAAATTTTAAACAATCAAGAGGATGAATCAACAGAGTTGGAGTGATCTCTGGAAGTATTTCGCACAGCAGGGGTATGTAGCAGGTATTCAATAAACTTATTAAGTAATTCATATGAACAAAAATAATTAGAATGAGATGGAAAACCAAAAGCTATTAGATCAGAAAGTGTATTAAAATTCAACATTTTCCTTTTTCACATAAGGAGACTCAGAATCAAGTAATAAAAGATCTGCATCACCCGGAGGTGCATAATTTGTGGCAGACCTGCTCCAAAAGGGGGCTGTGGACCTTAAAGCCAGGAAACGCTGGCCTGCACATAAGAAGGGTTGGAGATGGGGATGGGCACAATAAAGAAGTGATAGACACTGATTAAATGCCTAGTGAGGGTCAGGGAGAATAAGCGGTACAACTCTGTGGGCTTCTGGGTAAAGATGTACGTGAATAATTCTGGGTAAGGCAGTGGTTAGCTGGTTTTAATGGCCCAATTAGGCTTGACTCCATAGAAGTTCTCACTGCATAAGTCTGCCTCTCTTGATGGGACCTGCATGCTCCACAATGCCCAGTTCAGCTCCAGGGTAGACAGCAATGGGTATCAGGATTTCTTCACCACCATCTGAAGAAATGAACTGCTATCCTCACTGAGATTTGCATTCAATGGTCCCCTCTGTCATTCGTTAGAGCTAAGGTCTGGGAATTTTCCCAGATGCTTTCTAGAACACTGAGATATACTTCTAAGTTTGAATAGCTCTTTTTCTTCCTCCTTCTTTATTTTATATTCTGCCTATGTTGCTCATTTGGCTTTCCCCTCTTTCTTCCATTGGTGATTCTGGTTGTACCTTCTTCAGCAAGCTTCAGTTTTATGGCTGCACAATGTCCAAGGTCCCTGTCATTCTACACATCCACATTTCCACCTCCTTCCCAGGCTTCTGCCCTATCTACTAACTGATGCCTGTGGTCCATTTCTCAAGATGCCCACTTTATGACAATTATAATCCAGTTCAACTAAGAGGCTCTGTGTAGTCAGAGCAGGAGGCTACATTCCTTGCGTTCAAATCCAATTTCTGCACAAAATGGTCCTTCCTTTATATCTCCCTTTTTGTTTACTTTTGTCAGAGATGGGTATTCCATTGCCATTTGTATATTGTAGGTACATGAATTCAGCAAAGTAATCCAATATAGTCCAGTAGTCTATAATAGTAGTGGGTTATCCGCATGACTGGCAATGTCAGAAGTTGTTGACTTGAGCCCTTTACAGCTCAGCATATTAATATGGCTTTACTTTTCATACCTCATTACTATACTTTTCTGCTGGATGGTTAAGACCAAGATGAAGCAAGATCTATATAACAAGAAATGTAACTTTTTTATCTGATAAGGTCAGTCAAATCCCTTCAGGATTTACCCTGAAACCCTGTACAGCAGTTTGTAGATCTTTTGTCAGTGAAGGACCACTTTGTAGTGAAAATACACACACACACACACACACACATTATATATAAAATAGCATAGATATACAGCTACTTTCTCTTAGTTCAATGAGAAGAAAGTTTTGAACTAATAGTGTTTAGGTAGCATGTCTACATCTTGTACTATGAATAACTACTATGAAGACAATAATATGTAATGTATTAATTATTGTAACTGTCCTACTAACCTGTTTTGAAGCTGTCTCATTGCTACCTCTTCCTCAATAAAATTAATATAAAATATTATTTTTTAAAATGATTAAAGTTATTTCCCATAGAGAAAATTTAAAAAAAATCAAATTTCTGCCTCTGAGTAAATGGCCAGTTTACTGTTCTATCCTTTTAATTCCTCAGTTAAATTATGATGATTTGTGTAAGTATTCAGTGGAATTATTAACATTCTAGCTTTCATGCTTGCATTCTTAGTTTCTTAGGCTGGTTCTCCATGTCAACTCTATGTCACTCAGATTCACCTCAACATTATTTCTAAGAGTTCACCTTTAAATTCTTTTTTTCTGTTTATCCTAACTAACCTGTTTTCCTGAACAGACTTTTGTCCTTATCTGTGCTTGAAAAGCAAGGTAGTCTTCCAAGAACCTTCCAGAAAACCATGTTTTGCTATCCCTTCCAAAAGGTATAGTGATTTGTTCTAATGGTGTTAGTAAATAGGATATCATGTCTGCATCTTGTACAGTAACTAACCACTAAGAAGAATGTATGCAATGTGTTAATTATTGAAACTGTCCTACCAATTTGATTTGAAACAGTCTCATTGTTATTTGTTTATCAATAAAATTATGGAGAAAAAACAAAACAAAAGGTATTCTCTGTATGTTAGTAGTTAACACACACTTACTATAGCACTTATTTCATTTTTACACAGAATTAATAATTAAACTTCTCATTTTATGTAAAATTGAAAACATCAAGACTATGAGATGTGTCATAATTTTCACAGCCATATCCAGAGTACCTATTAATGGTTTTTCCAGACTGGCAAAACAACTGATGAGGAGTTACTCCTTAGAATATTTCTATAATCCTTTCCTGGAAGTGTTTCTTTTATTTTTCAAATCACTTCTGGATACACGTATGTACAGGCAACTAAATATGTAAATCTTCTTAATCATAATATCAAAAATTACCAACTTTGTTAACAAAAGTATTCATTAAGAAAAGTGTTCTGGGAATTATATAAAACAAAATGAGAACACACATAAAGAGCAGGCAAGCTTACAGGGGTAACACTAACACTATGAGCTTAGGAATTATGGAAAGAAATTATTTCATAGCTTTACCTTTAATACACTTCCATTTTCAGAGATACTGAGACCTGGTTTCTTCAGCATAGGGCGGCCATCTTTCAACCATGTCAACATTGGTGAGGGGACAGCATCACTTTGGCATAACAGCTCCACAGGTTGGCTTATGAGGACAGAGATGTTCTGTTCTTCTCCCATAATATTTGGTGGAACTATGTAAAAGATGAATTTTACCTCAGAATGAAATAGGCCAGCACACCATCTTTATTCATCATCAAAATATATACTAAGTAGCTTTTAAATTATAAATAAAGTCATCAGCTCATACACTCTGTATCCTTGTTAACAATCAAGTATCAATAAATTACTAATAAATATATTCTTGTTGAACATAATAATTCTTACTATTTTTTAATTTAAAAAATTTAAAACCGGAAATTTTCACCAACTGCACATTTAAGAAACTTCTTGAACTAGATGTTACTGCTTAAGATTTCAAAAAATAATAAATCAGTTATAAAATATTTTAGAAATAGCAATGAATTAAAAGAAAAATATTTTTAAAATTTATATTTTTTTTACAAAAGAAAGAAATCTCAAAGTCACAGAGGCGAAATTAAAAATAATAGATGTAAAAAGGAACACAGAGATCATCTAGTTCCATCTCATAGTGCATTAAACATAAAAGGGGGACAAAAAAGAGCTTATGAAAAATAACATGGCTGGGCTGGGGAGATGGCTCAGTAGAATAAGTGCTTCCCTGGCATGTGCAAGGTCCTGAGTTCAATCCCTGTTTCC